AAATCCCCCCCCCCCCCCCCCCATCATCCTTGGGGGTACAGATATTAATCTGGACGCGAAATCCTACCTTACTTTCTGAATTTACATAATCTTTACAATTGATGGAAATTTCATCTGCTGTTACACCGAATGTTCCCCGAAAATCTGCAAAAAAAATCGTGAAATTTGATAACTTATATGTTGATTTCACAAAACTTGGCCATTTTATTATAATCATACCTTAGTCTCACAAACAGGAATTTTTTGTGTGTCCAGAATTATCTACGTTTGAAAGTTAAAATGACCACTCGTCTTTTCTAGAGACGCTACCATTATATAGAAAAGACATCTATAGAAATAGTGAGTAAAATTCCTAGTTTGAGATATTTTTAAAGGAATTATGTGATTTTCGTACATTTCTAGTATTTCTGAAGACTATTTACATATATTCAAGACTCAAATCAACCCTTCAAAAATGGCGTAACTGTCTCTTGAAGACATTCCAAGACAAAAGGAATACAGTTGAAAATAAATATTTTGAAAATTGGTAAAAGCAAAATGCTTACCCGGATTACTACAGGTCACTCCCATGTTTTCACAACTTCTCAACTATAAATTTTATAATTCTTATGGCGTTTAAGATCTGACTTAATTATATTTTCTACGTGTTTAATTAACACATCACCTTGTCACCTGGTAACACTTTTTATAATTTATTATGTTAATAACTGTGAAAACAGGTGATATAAACATTGAACAGTGCGGTTCCGTCACTAACAGTTATCGGCTGGAGTAGGGTCAGAAAAATTGGGCCATGTTTTATGGAGATTTTCCCCTGCCCCGAGGGTGCGTTGGTAAGAATTTTTGCAGTGGGGCAATCGGGCCAGCCTCAATTTGGGATGGGAGGGGATGGGGGTTGGCCCAAGGGATAAACTGATAGGGAAACGTGTTCGGACAATTTGAAAAAGATCAATGACAAAAGGTTTGGCCGAGGCACTTAGGTTGATATCCTTGTAAAATATAATTGTTCCTTTTTTTTATCATAAGTATTTTTGTCTCTATTGCGTCCACAAGGATATTTGGTCACTATTGCGTCCACAAGGCTATTTGGTTTCTATTGCGTCCACAAGGATATTTTGTTCTTATTGGGTCCACAAGGATATTTTGTTCTACTTGCGTCCACAAGGATATTTTGTTCCCATTGCGTCCACAAGTAAATGTAAAAGATAAGACTATAGATTCTGTTTTCGTTCCACTTTACCTATTTGGGTACATTTAAAAGATTAAGTCAATCCTCTTATCACGTGATTTGTTTCATCACGTGATTCTTCTTGGACAAAATGGTGGAGTCTGTACGTGTCGCATAAGATACAGATATTTACATTGTAAAAGGATACATTTCTTTACAGGCAGTCCAAATTTCCACCCAATTTTTGAACAATAGAGATGGAAGGCTTAGAAAAAATCGAGTTTGGTTCCGCCATCAAAGATCAGGAATTTTTTCTGAGGGAAAAATGTGTTCATCTGAATCATGGCTCGTACGGAGCAGTACCACGACGGGTCTACGAATACAGATTGAAACTGCAAAACGAACTTGAAGAACATCCAGAACTGTGGTTCCGAAGAAATATTCGTCAATATTGGGCCGATTCCAAAGCGGCAATTTGTAAATTTGTCAATATTAAGGACACTGATTGTATGGTTTTTGTAGAAAATGCTACGACTGGCACCAATGCAGTCTTAAAGAGTCTGAAATTCCTGAAAGGGGACATAATTCTAGGCACCAACTTGACCTACCAAGCTGTGAAAAATTTGGTTCAATATGTAGGAGAAACTAGAGAGGGAGTCGAATCCAGATTTTTAAAAATAACGCTACCAATAAAAACGAAAGATGACATCATCAATTTGTATCGCGATTATTTGAAAAATAACAAAAACGTGAAAATTGCTGTCATTGACTATATAACCAGTCCGAGCGCCATTTTGATGCCAGTAAAAGAAATTATCGAAGTTTGTCGTCAACATGGAGTTTTAACGTTAATAGATGGCGCTCACTCACCAGGACAAATTGAGCTGAATTTGGACGAATTAGGAGCTGATTTTTTTGTTGGAAATTTACACAAATGGCTGTTTGCTCCACGCGGCTGCGCTATTTTATACGTAGCGAAACAACACACAGATAAAATCCACGCTCTTAATTCATCATGGCATCTTTACGAAGGATTGAACGCAGAATTTATTGACAACGGAACCAAAGACCATACGCCATTCTTTTGTGCCGAGGCTAGTTTGAATTTCTTTAAGAGTATCGGTGGTTTTGAAAAGGTTTACGGGTATAATAAGAAGTTGATTCGAGAGGGAAGTGAGTATCTGATGAAGTTATGGGGAACAGACAAGCAAGATATACCAGAAACCATGGAAGCTCCGTTTATGATCAACGTTCAACTTCCGCGACTAAAAGGTGTCGAAGTTAGCGGAGAGTCGACGATGAAATTACAACTAGATTTACTGGAAAATCAAGACATCACTTCAGTCTTCATTACTTATCTTGGAGTGAATTATTGTAGACTCAGTTGTCAAGTCTATAATACAATGGATGATTTTATTAAATTAGGTCAGGCTGTGAAAAAATTAATGATTTAAATATATCACAGCGTAGTTAAACAGATTGTAAAGAAGTTTTCTAAACTTTACTTGTGTATCAGGGACACTGATAGCATCAATTTACACCATTCTAATTTTCAATCAGACGTCTGTGGTTCTTGTTAAAGAGATTGTAAAGAGGTTTTCTAAATTTTGTATGTGTATCAGGGACACTGATAGCATCAATTTACATCATTCTAATTTTCAATCAGACGTCTGTGGTTCTTGTTAAAGAGATTGTAAAGAGGTTTTCTAAATTTTGTATGTGTATCAGGGACACTGATAGCATCAATTTACATCATTCTAATTTTCGATCAGACGTCTGTGGTTCTTGTTAAAGAGATTGTAAAGAGGTTTTCTAAACTTTACTTGTGTATCAGGGACACTGATAGCATCAATTTACATCATTCTAATTTTCAATCAGACGTCTGTGGTTCTTGTTAAAGAGATTGTAAAGAGGTTTTGTAAATTTTTCATGTGTATCAGGGACACTGATAGCATCAATTTACATCATTCTAATTTTCAATCAGACGTCTGTGGTTCTTGTTAAAGAGATTGTAAAGAGGTTTTCTAAATTTTTTATGTGTATCAGGGACACTGATAGAATCAATTTACATCATTCTAATTTTCAATCAGACGTCTGTGGTTCTTGTTAAAGAGATTGTAAAGAGGTTTTCTAAATTTTTTATGTGTATCAGGGACACTGATAGTATCAATTTACATCATTCTAATTTTCAATCAGACGTCTGTGGTTCTTGTTAAAGAGATTGTAAAGAGGTTTTCTAAATTTTTTATGTGTATCAGGGACACTGATAGTATCAATTTACATCATTCTAATTTTCAATCAGACGTCTGTGGTTCCTGCAATTCTACAGACATCTGATACAAAATTTAGAAAACCTTTTTACAATCTCTTTAAGTTGATTGTGGTAGTTATTATTAGTCTAGTTTGTTATATATCTATATTTTTATATATTTTTCTTTTCATGTACTTAGTATATACACTGTTTGTATGAATCCGACATTTTTTAAGGCTGCATTTCTTTTATTTTGAAAAGGGACACGACCAAGATTTCTGTGCGAGAAATCATTTATGAGTCTAGAAACGTGAATTTTTTTTATCTAAGCCAATCAGTAATAGTGTTCACAGCTCACTGTCGAAATTTGAGCCTTCAAATCCATGTGTGTCCAGAATTATCCACGTTTGAATGCTAAAATGACGACTCGTCTTTTCTTGAAAATCAGTAATAGTGTTCACAGCTCACCGTCAAAATTTGGGCCTTCATATCCATGTGTGTCCAGAATTATCCATGAACATGATGTCATCGAGTCGTCCATTTGATGTCATGTATACAGTAGACTCAATCATCCTACGACAGAAGATGTCTTGTCAGAGACTATATCAAGACGGTCGACTTTAGGATACGAAATAAATAAAACTACCTCAATTAAATTATTTTTTATTTTTTGAGATTTATTACAATAATAAAATATTTTAAAATTGTGTTTAATACTTTGATAATATAATATTAAAACAGAACCAGTAGGGACGCAGGCTGAAAATAGGTCAGTTGTCTGGCGACATGTTCCAGGTTCTGTTTTAGTTGTCTGAAGATCACACAGTGTGAAACTCTGAATAACAACATGTTTCAGGTTCTGTTTTAGTTGACTGAAGATTACATAGCATGAAACTTGAGTGACAACATGTTTCAGGTTCTGTTTTAGTTGTCTGAAGATCACACAGTGTGAAACTCTGAGTAACAACATGTTTCAGGTTCTGTTTTAGTTGTCTGAAGATCTCATAGCATGAAACTCTGAGAAACAACATGTTTCAGGTTCTGTTTTAGTTGTCTGAAGATCACACAGCGTGAAACTCTGAGAAACAACATGTTTCAGGTTCTGTTTTAATATTTCTAAGTTGATGATATGTATATATATTATGAATAATAAAATGATATAGAATGACTATCTTGTGATAGCAAACAATAGGGGTTGAAGTTCAACATTGGGCCTTTGTGATCGTGACATCATAAAATTCTTAGTTTTAGTGGAATTGCAGGAATCACAGGAATCACAGAAGTCCGATTGAAAATTAGAGACTACAGTTTTAATCCAAATTCAATGAAATTTGGTGTGAATATTTATAATGATGAGATCTTAGTCAAGATTAAATTTGACAATTTTTCGATCAACGGAAGTTGAGTTATTGCCCATGACTTAGTAAAAACGCAATAAAATTTCTTAGCGTTACAGGTGACAGTTTATATCAGAATTATATCAAATTTTGTGTGTTTGTTTAAATCAACAATATCTTGCACGAATTAGATTTTTGTTATGATTTGACACAGATAGGTGACTGCCCTAGATATACTGA